GGAATGGCAACCTCCCAATCCGCTCTGTTCTGTGCATTACAGGCGGGGCAGCGCCCCAACTCCCCAATCAGCCCTGCTCTGAACCCAACCAGGGGCTGCACCTAGGGATTGGGCCTGCCCTCTGCCACCGGGAGCAGGCCTAAGCCAGCAGGTCGTTATCTCCCGAGGGGTCCCAGACTGCGAGAGGGCACAGGCCGGGCTGAGGGACCCCCCTCCCACCCGAGTGCAAAAATTTTTGTGCATCGGGCCTCTAGTATATTTATAAACATTTGTAAGTACAAAGAACCACCTCATCAAACACATAATGAGAGCTCCAACAGTACTGGGCACCTAACTGAAAGATACTGAACCAGGCACATTACCCAGTTTTAGACGTACACCCACCCCTAACCCCCACCACCCAAGGCTTAGAAGTTTAGTCATTTGCCCTAACATCAAGAGGAGCCGTGATTCGAACTAAGGTCTTTGCACTTCTCACAAATTGTATGCCATCTTCAAAGATCTAGTTGAAAGCACTCTTTTTGTAGGAGAAGCAAATGAAGGTCCAAAAGGTGCAATGGTTTTTCAAGGTCAGTAAACCCAGGTCTGATTCCCGGTAAGCGCTTTTCCCCAGAATCCAACCTCATTCTTTGAGTGGGGGGAGAGAGGATACCAACTCCAATCAAACCTTGAAAAGCAAAGGAAAATTTAAACTCATTAAATAATTTAAAACTATGTGGCACTGATGTCAGATCTGTAAGTTTATTTGCTCAATGTACGACAGCTACATAATGACTCACATTCATGATATTCCATCACTGAGGAAAACTGCTAAGAATGGTCCGTGTGTGAAATAATTCCTTAGAGAAACACGGAGTTGGAAAAATAATCACTGATTAGACCTTAAAAATAGTTCACTGCATAACATGACAAAAAGCACAAAGGCTCATTCAGAGAACATATTCATTGTTCTCCTAGACTGTAATAGTTATAATTTCACCATGACAAACACCAGACATTAAGATTAAGCTAACACTGGTGTTTCTTTTGCCCCGCCCCCACCCCAAAAAAAACAAAATATATAACTGCATGTCACTATAGCAACATCCAAAACAGATCAATTTGTTACAATCACTATTTGGTAGAGCAAACTTTACCCCCAAAAGGAAAACTTAAATTAAAAAAAACTTTAAAAAATTTGAAGAGTTAATTTTTTGTCATAGGAATACATAACAATTACAATATAAGCTAACAAATTTCAAGCTTGTTCTCCTAGACTGTAATAGTTATAATTTCACCATGACAAACACCAGACATTAAGATTAAGCTAACACTGGTGTTTCTTTTGCCCCGCCCCCACCCCAAAAAAAACAAAATATATAACTGCATGTCACTATAGCAACATCCAAAACAGATCAATTTGTTACAATCACTATTTGGTAGAGCAAACTTTACCCCCAAAAGGAAAACTTAAATTAAAAAAACTTTAAAAAATTTGAAGACTTAATTTTTGTCATAGGAATACATAACACCTACAGTATAAGTTAATAAATTTCAAGCTACTTTATAGAAATACAACACTAGCATGCACAATATTGTATCAATAGAGTAATGGAGGAATAATCATTTCACTGGAGAGACAATATCATAGGCAAGTGCATTTCTTTAACAATAAAGAAAAGAAAAGAAACCGAGCTTTTACAGAGCTTCTGGTAGGATTCAGTTAATTGGGACTTTCACTCTAGCATAGGAAGGGAACCTTCTAAGGAAAGTCATGCTGGATAAACTGTGCAATGTTACAGAGTATCATCACCATTCAATCTTCACTGTCACCTGGATTCTGTTAAAGGTATTCATTTCATAATTGTAAGCTCAATTTTGGTATTAGCAAAAGCAAGTGTCAGTTTTCCTCAATCATTACAGATACCTCTCCTTGCCTAAATAAAACAAAGGAACAAGTCTGGTGTCATGACCTATCTTGGGAATTCAGTTACTGATTTTATAAAAAAGGCTGAATACACATGCAACAGATCATGTTTTCAGACAGGTTTATCCAAAATGAGAATGGAGGACCTAAGGCTAAATGAAAACAAATTTGTGAGGATAGCAATGTGGTTTCCTTCAATTTTGAAACATGCACTGATTACACAAGAAATGAATCTGATGTCCATGTTTTTGTTAAGGAGAAAAAAATATATAGAGAAAGTTTTGGTCAAATAGGAGTTTAGTATTTATTATCTGATAATGATTTTAGTTTGTGTTCCTGTAACAACTGATTGGGGGAAAAGTGTTTTCAGGGAGGAAAACCTGACACACAAGGCTCCCAGAACCGGACGGAGTGTTTACTAACAGAGCTCTTCCTTTTGGATTTTCCTACCAGTAAGCGTCTAGCACCTGAATTTTCACACACTGCACCACAAACTTTCTCAAAATGGCCACCCAGCTTCTACAACCCACACCTTTTCAACCCAACTGAGTGGCAGCATAAGGTACAGTGGGGAAGACTCAAGTGAAGAGCAAAATGGGAGCGTAATCCCTGAGGAAGGAGCTGTGGCAGTTCACAAATCAGGATTTCTCTGAAATATCAATGCAATAAATGACATACAGACCTGAATTTTCTCTATTTTTTGTGGTGTTTAATGTTTCTATTAAAGTGATTAATAACTTTTGTGGTGGACTTAAGAGGAAAGAAAGAAAAAAATCCCACAGCCACCTGCCAAGCACCTATTAACCAATACCTAAAGTAGCTTTGATGCTTCTCAGGCAAGCCTTTGGCCTAGGAGATAACCAACCTGGATATGGCTGAATAAGGATGTAAAGCCAAAATAACTAGCAAAGAAAAATACACAGTCAATGGCTTGATGTTACATATGGCTGTAATGTAGAAATACTGTAAACTGCAATTTAGTGTTAATACTGTCATCTAATCAGAGACTTCAGAAAACTAGCAAGGCCTAAAAACCATAAGGATAAATATACCTTATGTTCCAAGTCTGTCAGTTTGGGATTTAAACTATTCCATGTCTGGTAGAGTACACCCTGAAAAAAATGCACAGCTAATACAGATGAGATAGAAAGTACCCAAAACTTAAGACAAGAGCATATGTACATAAAAATCCTTACTGGAACCACAGAACTTACTGAATGAGGGCCATTCCACTGAAGTTTTCTTTTCATTTTAAAATCCTATTATCTAGCAATAAGTTAAATTAAAGATAGACAGCTCCACTTGCATTAATCTACAGAACAGTCCATATGCCGGTGTGAGGCTGCTATTCCAATACCAGCACAGCTAGCCTGACTTTCCACTAGTGGTATTTTGGCAAAAATGTCAAAGAGGCGATCAAAGACAGGACAGGTCGTGGGTTTCTCCCTAGGAAGGTCACCCCTCCCTTTCCCTCCCCCACCCGACCCCCAAACTCATGGGAAAAAAATAAAGACTGCAGTAGTAGCATCAGCGTGCGCTGCCAGTCCACCTGAGGGGCCTTAATTGTTGCCTTCTCCACCATCGTCGTCTTGCTGATCGCTTGTCCAGAGCGTTAGGTTGTCACGAAGGAGCTGCATGATGAGAGTGGAGTCCTTGTAGGAGTCCTCATTGAGAGTGTCGAGCTCAGCAATGGCATCGTCGAAGGCGGTCTTGGCCAAGTGGCATGCTTGCTCTGGGGCATTCTGGATCTCATAGTAGAAAACGGAGTAGTTAAGAGCCAGGCCTAATCTAATGGGGTGAGTAGGCTGCATGTGCTCCTTGCTGATCTCATGGGCTTCGCTATAGGCCTTCTCAGATGATTCCACAACAGTTGCCCTTTTCTCTCCAGTGGCTACTTCAGCCAAGTAGCGGTAATAGTCCCCTTTCATCTTCAGGTAAAACACTTTGCTCTCGTATTGGGTCTCACTGCAATTCTTGATCAGGTAGTTATCTAGCAGGCTCAGCACATCCTGACATACTGCTTCCAACTCCTTCTCTATTTTTTCACGATAAGCACGGACCATCTCTATCTTCTTCTCATTACCATCTGCAGAAGTCTTCTGCTCAATGCTACTAATGACCCTCCAGGAAGAACGGCGTGCCCCAACTACATTCTTGTAGGCCACAGAAAGAAGATTTCTTTCTTCATTGGATAGTGGCTCATTCAGCTCTGTCACCTATTAAGAGGAAAAGAATAAAGAGTTGTTATGGTACAGATGTCAGTTGGGTTAATCATAACCATATACAGCTAAAACATAAACATCCATCAGATGATTAAAATGATTAATAGAGAAGTTATCAAGCTGTATGGGTATATGGAAGGGAGATGGAGGTGGAAAGAGCAATAGTAAAAAAAAAAAAAATTGCAACTGGGTCAATGGTGCCTGAATCTCTGCTCCACACCTATAAAAGGACACATACTTATCACATAGCTGTTCCATGAAGAACTGTCAAGTCTAGCTATTAGATGACAAATCAAATTTTTATCTAAATTGCAAAAGGTCAACAGTTCTTTCATGTAACATTACATACACACCAATCATAGGGAATTCTAGTATAGGTGGCTTATATACCTCTTATATACCACTAGTGGCCCGGTGCACGAAATTTGTGCACAGAAGGGGGGTGGGGGGTGGGGGAAGGGTTTCCCTCAGCCCAGTCTGCACCCTCTCCAATAGGGGACCCCTTGGGGGATGTCTGACCACCGGTTTAGGCCCGATCCCTGTGGGGTCGGGCCTAAACCAGCGGTTGGACAGCCCTCTTGCAATCTGGGACCACTGGCTCCTAACGGCCTCTGCCTTGGACCCACCACCATGGCTTTGTCCGGAAGATGGCTGGTGGACCTGGTCTAATTAGCATATTACCGCTTTTAGTACAGATTATATAGGATAGGACTGCTTAAATGGGGGTGGGAGGGCTTTTTTGTCAGGCAATGCTCTTGGCAGACAAAAATATATAATCTCTTTATCTGGACTGATAGCCAGCCATATGCACTATACTGCCAAACTGGTCAATAAAAAAATTGAACCGCTTTCTTACACCTTACACCAAACAGCTGTTGCCCTTAAAACCCCTCCTCAGCCCCCACTGCAGTTCACCCAGATTAGGTTCTGATTGGTCGGTTTCTATGCCAGTCAGTGTCAAAAGCTCCGCCTCCTATGCAGCCATTGGCTCCTCACACTTCACCCAGATTTGGTTCTGATTAGTTGGTTTCTATGCCAGTCAGTATCTCCGGCCTATCAACGGGCCTGATCAGAGAGGCGGGCCTGATCCGCAGTCCCCTCTGCAGCACTAACTTCCAGTCGGTAGAGCCTTTGGTCATTTTGGATGTTATGGACCCTGGGTTTTTATAAATTAGGATTCTGTTCTCTTAAGAACAGAATAACAGCTTCTTTCTAATATTGCCGTGTCCGCTAAACTTCTGGGTGAGAATATTTTGAGTATTGGTTGAGAATATAGAGTCAATTTCAAGCAGACTTTTGAGAAAGAAAGAGGCTTTTCTGCTCTTGTGTTAAGATCATGAATTATAAACCTCAGAAAGTTAGTCAAAACTGGGGACATGGGACTGAGATTTTAGAAACTTGGGGAACACATACTTGTTATAGTGTTTGACTGAATACAATTAGCAATACAGAAGAGTGGAGAGGTGAACAAAGTACTTTTGAACTGAGGTGGCCAATAGGAATTAATGCTTTTTTCAATATGTTCCTTTCTAAAAGGTCTTCATCATCCCAAAGACTAATTGCCTTGAGAAAACTAAAGCAATAGCACATTGAGAACTCTGGTCAGGATGGCAGAGTAAATGAATGTGGTGATCACCTCCTCCCATGACCACATCAAAATTACAACCTAAATTGTGGCAAAATTACAACATATATTAAGAATCCAGAGGGAGCCCTAGCCGGTTAGGCTCAGTGCATAGAGAGTCGGCCCATGGACTAAATGATCCTGGGTTTAATTCTGATCAAAGGCACATACTTCAGTTACAGGCTCAACCTCTTCAGGGCACACGCAGAAAGGCAACCAATAGATGTGTCTCTCTCACATCGATGTTTCTCTATCTGTTTCTTCCACACTCTCTCTAAAAATATATATAAATAAATAGAGAAACATCAATCAGCTGCCTCCTGCACACCTCCAACTGGGGATGTGCCTGCAACCAAGGTACATGCCCTTGACCAGAATCGAACCTGGGACCCTTCAGTCCACAGGCTGACGCTCTATCCACTGAGCCAAACCATTTAGGACCAGAGGGATATCTTGACTGCAGAGGTCTCCCTGAGAAGCAAGGGGTCCCAGCCCCATAATCTGTGGCTGTAAAAATCAGTGGGGATTTAGTTGAGGTGAGATGAAGGGCTACTGGAGTTCCAGATGTTCCTCTTAAAAGGTCTGGCATAGACTTATTCGCTAACACACTCCCTCGCTCTGAGCTCCAGTACTGGGGCAGCAGCTCAAAAGCGCCAGGACATATGGAAAGGAACTGAATTGTCTGGCTTTAGGGTATGGGATGGAGGAGCAGCTCTGGCCTGGACAAAATGCTGGCAGGTGCCACTGTTCTTTTGCTGAACCCTCCCAGGTGGGCACCTAATCTGTCTCCATCCAACTAGCTAATATCACTTGCTGGCCTCACCCTGATGATTATTTGAGACCTCATACACTAGCCTGAACCTCTTTCACAGACTGTTCCTACTGGACCTGGCTCAAGCTTTGGACTGTCCTAAAATCCCTCAAAGGTCACCCAGCTGGAGTGGCCAGTTAGTTGAACATCATTCTGTGCACCAAAGCATGCCAGTTCGATGCCCAGTCAGGGCACATGTCTGGGTTGCAGGTTCAATCCCTGGTTGGGGCACGTGCAGAAGGCAAACAATCAATGTTTCTCACATCGATGCATCTCTCTTTCTCTCCGTACCATCCCCCCCGCCCCAGCCCTTCCTCTCTTCTTGGGTGAGGATTTTTAAAAAAACACCTCTCAAAGGTCTATAAACCTCAAACAAGCAGTAGTTGGCCTCAGCATGCCCTGTATCTCCTGCTGAGTGGCACCTGGCTCTAGTGGCAGCTGGCCTTGGTTCATAGCATAGCCTCTCTTCCAGGTACCTCCAAGCTACCAACCACAGATTATTCTGTAGCGCCTATCAGGTGGCTCTAGGCCAGGCATAGGCAGTAGCTGAATTTGGCCTATACCAGAGACACCCCCAGAACCAACATGCCTGGCTGGCTTCAGACCATACCAGAGAACCACCCAATTAGCTCCATAAATGACACACCCGAAGGGTGAACTTGGCAGGCACCAGAGCCCTGCCAAGGCGAAATCCACTCTATAGGGTCAGTTTTTATAAAACAGCTTGTTTGTTGTAGTCATGGCCAGTCCTCACAGCCAGTTAGCCTGAGGGTCAATCCCACCAACCTGCCAATTGCAATCAAGGCTCAACTACAATAGGAGGATACACACAACCTACATAAGGGATACCCCTGGAGCACCCAGCTCAGGTTAACAGGGAGACTGGGTCTCACAGGACACTTACTACATAAGGCCACCCCACCAAGACTAGGAGATGTAGCAGATCTACCTAATACTTTGAAAGAACAAAACAAAACACCAGAAAAATAACTAAACAAAATGGAGGCAAGCAATCTACCAGATAGAGTTCAAACATTGGTTATAAGGATGCTCAAGGAACTTAAGAGAATAAACTCCATGAAAACTTACACAAAGAGATAAAAACCATTTAAAAAAAGCAGTCAGAAATTTTTTAAAAAAATGAGGCTAGTTTAAGGGGCCTATGGAACAATATCAAGAGTAACAAAATCTGCCCTAGCTGGTTTGGCTCAGTGGATAGAGGGTCGGCCTGTGGACTGAAGGGGTCCTGGGCTCGATTCCAGTCACCGGCACATGCCCAGGTTGTGGGCTCAATCCCCAGTGCAGGGAATGCAGGAGGCAGCTGGTCAACGATTCTCTCTCATCACAGATGTTTCTATCTTTCTCCTTCCCCTTCCTCTCGGAAATCAATAAAAATATATTAAAAGAAAAAGTAACAAAATTCACATTAATCAGGTACCAGAAGGAGAAGAGAAAGCAAGGGATTATAAACCTATTTGCAGAAATAATCTTCCCTAACCTGGTAAAGTACAGAGACCAGAAAGTAGAGAGTCCTAAACAAGATGAACCCAAAGAAGCCCACACCAAGACACATCATAATTAAAATAAAGGTCAAAGACAACAAGAAAGTCTTACAAGTACCAGAAGAAAAGCAGATAGTTATGTGCAAAGGAGCTCCCATAAGATGGTCAGCTAATTTCTCAACAGAAACTTTGTAGACCAAAGTTTCAGGATTGGCCAGAAATATTCAAAGTAATGGCAACCAACGACCTACAACCAAGATTACTCTACCTAGCAAGGCTATCATTTAGAATCAAAGGAGAGATAAAGAGCTTCTCAGACAAGAAAAAGCTGAAGGAGTTCATCACCACCAAAACAGTCTTACAAGAAATGTTTAAGACTTAAAAGAGAACAAAATTATGAATAATAAAGTGGAAATAACTACAGTACATAGTTGTCTGATGGAAGGGGGATTAAAGGGCTGGCTGAAAAAGATGATGGGATTAAGATGCACCAATTGGTAGTTACAAAATACTCATGAAGATGTAAAGTACAGTATAGGTAATATAGTCAATAATATTATAGTAACTATGTACGGTGTCAGGTGGGTACTAGATTTATTAACTTTGGATAATTTCATGTTACATAAATGTCTAACCATTATGTTGTACACTTGAAACTAATATAATAAAGAAATTAAATCAAATCACTAACACTACATTTAATTTATATAATTTGATTTCTGTGACATCAGAGCCATCCATATAGAGTATCAAGTGTCTGACAACCATATGAAACAAAATTTTACAGGGGTAGAAGTCTTACTTTTTATTCCTATTCTGAGGTTACATTTTTAAAAATATATATATTTTTACTGATTTCAGAAAGGAAGGGAGAGGAGGAGAGAGATGGAAACATCAATGATAAGAGAGAATCATTGATTGGCTGCCCGCTGCATGCCCCACACTGGGGATTGAGCCCACAACCTGGGCATGTGCCCTTGACTGGAAATCAAACCCAGGACCTTTCAGTCCACAGGCTGACTGACACTCTATCCACTGAGCCAAACTGGCTAGGGCA